CCCCCCCCCCCCCCCCCCCCAGTAAGTATACATTATCTGCTTGGCTGGTGAGAAGATTGCCCAGAATGTAGAAATCAATAGCAATAAGGGGGCGTAAACATGGCAGGACACCCCCAAGTGCAGCGCGCTGTTTACACAGGACTGGTCCCATCCATCTCTATATCGCCACATTAATGGGCCTCTTACACGCGCCCCACCCCTCCCTTCCCGCTTCATTATCCCTCTGCCCCCCCGTCCGCCGGCCCGCACTTCAAAGAGTTATGTCCCCTTGCCCAGCGCCCCCCGTCCCTAATTACAGGAAGGCCATTTAAATATGATCTATCATCAGCCTCAGGCTCTGCTTCTCTCCCCGTTTTCTTTTTCCCAGCGATTTCAGAAAGTGTCTGTTCTCTATCACGCCTTAGAAAGGTTTCGTTTCCCCCCTGCATAAATAAATACTTGGTTAATCACACGTAAACAAATTAATGTCAGCAGCTGCGGATGCCTGCCCCGGTCGCCGTGGCCCCTGCCCCGGTCGCTGTGCTTAACCTCACGGCCGCGTTTTGTCATTCTGGCTGATCTTCGTTACGTCTTTAATTGTAGCACCGTGTTTTCGTTTAATTAAATGGGTAAAAAACATCCTGATCGGCTGCAAGTAACGGATACAGACAGGCAGATTTACACCATCCCCAGTTATTTGGGATTAGAAGGACTGGTCCCAAACCCTCCAGTGCCCCCTGATTCCGGAAGGTGGTTCCGAAATGTCCAGGACGGAGAATGAGGGAGACCTTCAGGGATCCACGGTAAATCCACTCTGTTAAACAGCATCTAGGGCTCCCCAAACAGGAAGGCTGGAACCCTCCCAGCCCCCTCTGCCAGCCCCCTCTGCCAGCCCCCTCTGCATCCCGGAAGGCAGGCCGCTGGGGAGGACTGGGCAGCCACCTGCAGACATCGCCCCTGGGCTACCAGGCACACTTCCGGAAAGATCCATGCACCTCTGCACCCCAGCAGCTGACGCTCCCCTCAGCCCACACCGCTCGTCCGGTCCGGGACGGCAGGCAGTCTGTCCTATCATATGTGCGAGCGAGCGATGGACCATGAGGAGGCGCCCAGGCTGTGGCCAGTGGGGGAGACAGAAGGGAGGTGGGGAGGCGAAAGGGAGTCACGCGGGCCGGCAGCGTGCCGGGCTCTTTGTGTCTCATATCAGAGCCACGCCGAGGAGGGCCGTACCCAGAAACCACACCTCGTATGTTTAGTCCCAGTGATTAAACATAGTCAAACGTTGTTCAGTGAGAACTAACGAACTGAATGAACAAATAATTAATTTATGGTGGGGAGAAATAAAACGAGAGCGATTTGTCCATTCCGCTGAGCCGTTCTTCACAGAAGAGCCAGGTTTGGTCGTTAATTAGGACGTGCTAGACAAGGTGAGGGAATTTTAATTTGTTGGACAAGGAGGACGGGGGGAGAGACAGAGACGGAGGTTAATTCTGCTGCTGTTGGCAGCTCGTCCGTTTCCTCAGATCCAGGTGCTGTTTACTTTCCACTCAAATATCAGTGCCGGGACTCGACTAATTGAATTAGTCTCGTCAGAGCATGACGCTGTGTGCAGTGCCTCCCCCAGCTTTTGAGCCATCCCCCCCCCAGCTGCGCAGCGCTGTGTTTAAACAGGTCCTTTAAAACGCGTGCATCAGGTGACACTCCTGCAGGAAGATGGACTCCTCTCTCTATTGCTCGTCTCCGAGAGGCTGTTATTAACAATACAAGCTTTGTTGGCGTGAAAGAGGCTCATTGTGTGGAATTAAAGGGGGCGCAGCGGTGAGAAGGTACTGGGGGGTGGGAGTGTGGGGAAAGTCAGAGAGTCTCTCCCTGTATTGATTTAATCTCTCTGTTTGGTGCTAATTAGCTTCAATTTGTGTCATATCTTTTGGGGAGGGTTTTAAAGGGCACAGAACAGACAAGGCGATATAGAGCCTGCGGGGGGAGGGGCAACTCCCTTCCTCTCTGACTCGTGTCTGACCCATTGGCCTGGGAGGGAATAGCTGGACAGTGATTGGCCCGCCGTTCTCTAAAGCATGCTGCCAGAGGAGCGCCCCCTGAAGGCCAGGCCCGTAACTGCTTCTGATCACTCTGGTCATTACTGCATGTGGGTCAGCATGTGTCTCAGTGTCTCAGGTAGAACCCCGGGGGGTTAGGAAAACAGGAGCAGGGGCGGCATGGAGCGTGTCGGATTCCTCAGAAAATATCACGTCGCCCCCGTGTTCCCTCTCGTGATGTAAAGAGCCATCAGAGGTGGCCTGGGCTGTGGGGGGGGACTCTCCTGTCCCCCAAACTTACGGCTGGGATTTTAAAACTGCAGCATAGTTACTGCTGAGTGCTGTGAATGCTGACGGGGGCCGTTTGCTGGGAAGAGGTGATGCTGCTTAAGCTGTAATGACGGGGAATTTCGCCAGGAGCTCTTTGATTTTCGCTCGTGAGGGAGAACGTTTGAGGAGTTCATCGCCGTCGGCGGAGTGAAAAGACGGCGCTCGCATCAAAACCTTCCTTTCTTACTGCCGTCCTCGCTCCTCCGCTTGTGGGGGACGCTGTTGCCGCCCTGCGGGGCCCTTCTTCGACGACGCGCCATGATTAGTGCACCACAACCCCCCCTCCCAGCCATCAACATGCTTCCCCCTCGTCTGTGACTGACTGTCTTTGACGTCTCACTCGTGACAAGATAAAGAGTTTATCCCGGTAATTGAAGCTCTAAATGCAACGCAAATGTTCTCCCAAAATCCGAGATTACCGGAGCAGGTCCTGCTTTTTCCGGTACTTTTTAAAAATAAATCGAGGCACTCTCCTTTTGATAGGCAGTGATGGGGCATCCATTAATGCGAGTACAGGTTTAAAACTAACCCATTATCCATCTGATTCTTTTTTGTTAACTCTGACTGTAACGGGTTTTATTAATGAGAGAAATTCCACCTGCGGCTGCTTTGCAGTCGTGTTACTGTCTGATGGAGCCGATTTCCCGCCCTTGTAGAGCAGAGGGGGAGGATGACGCCGCTATAATTCTTGCTGATTTACTTGCGCCTGGTTCCTCTGTGTCTGGGTGAGATCTGGCTCCGGAAGCGTCAGGAAGGCCCGGATCATTACAGGTGTCGGAATGAAGTGAGACC